AAGGAACACACATTGGCGGCTGGTTGGGAACGACAAAAAAGGGCTGCTTGTGTGGAATTAATTATTTATGCACACGGCAACAAGGGCAGAATTGCTCAGACACACATTGGAGGGCGGCTGGTGGTGGAGAAAAAACATAACGGACTGTACAGCAAGAGGTACAATCCCCGTGTGAAGGGATGTAAGCTCGTTTGCTGTAGAAGCAGAATTTCCCAAAACATAAATCCAAACACACGCAGAAGCCAGCTGAATAAAGGAAAAAATGGCATAAGACGACACAACATGAAATTGGAAAATTAACCATGTTTTATCAATTTTTGGTGATTCCTTTTATCCTTTATTTGTTTAATTCCAACATTATGTTGGGCTAATTCTTTTTAGGTATTGGATGAAGATGAAACCATTTATTATTTATTTTTAATTCAAGACAAGTAGCTTAATTGAATTCTTGCAATTCTTGAATAATCTTGCATGCTAAATTTTATTATTTGATTGCCTGATCTTCCAATCGAATATATGATTGCTTGTTATAGTCTTGCGAGGCTCAAAAATGTCTAAAACACTGCTTGATTAAAACTTGTGCAATAAATGTTATGAATAATATTTATTACATGTGCAATATCTCATATAATTGTGAAATTGAATGCGTTCTATCAATTTGAATTCGAACTAGGAATGGATTCGAGTCATTATTAAAATAGATTCAATTTGTCTAAAAATGAAAATTAATTATAATAGAATTATCGATTATCAAGAATGCAATAGCGAAATTAGCTACATAATTGAGAATTGGAATAGATAATAATAGGTGTATTCGTGATCCATTATGCTCATTCCATATATATACTAATTTCACATTTTACAACTTTTTGTAGATTGAATTAGAATAATTAAAAAATCATAAATCACTTTTATTTATTTATTTTGAATCAAATTAAAGATTAGTACACTCTATTAAATTTTATTCATCGTGGGACGATACATGTTACTACTTGTCAACAATCCCATACACTTGTGGATTTTGTGCGAACAGTAAAAATATGGTATGTAATTACACCCTACATACATTGTTTATATGTTTTTTAAATTTCCCTATAAACTAATGCTATGGATTAACGTGTTCACTTAAATTAAGGATATTGTTGACAAAAGAGAAAAAATGAAAGACAAAATGGTCAAAAGTGAATGTTTCTCAAACATCCACACTTTTGTATCTTGCTAATTGTAGATTGATAAACAATAAAGCTCTAGATGTACATTTGGACCATTTCTAGATTTTCTTCTTCCGTAAAAGAAGCATTGAATGTTTGTCTACGTATGGAATCTATATGTTGATGTCACATTTTGTTATTATTATTTATTCTAATTGAGTTGAAGTGCATCCTTTTTTGAAGATGTCTAATCTTGGTCAATTTCAATATAGCCATACACATAAGCATGCTGATTATGTTTCATTTGATAGTTGATTGATGTTTATATAGGTCAAACATGTTTTTGGCTCCATTTTCATTTTTCATACTATTTAATTTGTCTCAAGTCCTTAAAAAAAATATATCAAATCCTTCCTCACACACAAAAATTCTTGTGTAATCATTACACGAATTTTATTCGCTTAGAAAATATAATATTATAGTGCTCTCACAAATTGTTCACTTTAAACATATTAAATTCCAAATTAGTCAAAAGAGCTCTATTACTTTCTTTTTAATTTTGTGACATAATTGTAAGAACAAACAGATTTACCTTATAATATATAAAGATTTGCACGGAAGAAATAAAGCATGAGAAATTGAAACAGGCTCTTTAATCAATCAAATGAAGTTCACAATAATTAATTTGTTTAAATTAATTTTGAGTACAAATCAAACATATTCGATATACTAGCTTAATGGCTCGAGAAATGTTTTTCCCTTTTTCTTTCTTTCTATTTTTTTTTTTTAATTGTGCTAAGAAATTAATCTCTATCAAATGGATTGGTTTATTAAGAGATGAAAACAATGCATGTGACTGAAACTTCCTTAATTACTCATAAGATGTCACCACCTCCTATTCCACCACCAGCTCCTCTATCAAATCCACTACCAGATCCTTCATCCAACCTACCTCCGCCACCAAAACGTCCTCCTCCTTGTACACCATTTCCAAACCCACCACCAAACTCTCCTTTGGAGCTAGAACAGCCCCTTGTTCCTCCACCTCCTCCAAATCCTCCACCACCTCCTTGAGAACCACTTCCAAACCAACCACCCAATCCTTCTCCAAAGCCACCCTCGGATCCTTCACCACCACCACCCAATCCTCCTTCAGAACCAGAACCTCCTACCGTTCCTCCACCTCCACCTCCACCGATCCCTCCACCACAACCTCCACCAAGCCCTTTACCTCCTAAAATCCCAGTGATTAAAGAAGAATTTTTTTCATCGTTGAAAGAACCTTCTGTGCCAACAAGCTTTCTTGCATTGGCGGTGCAAATAAGAACACCAAGAAGAAGCAAGAGAACAAATTTCGAAGTTATCTCAATTTGCAAGTAAAAGATAGGTATTGAATCTTTATTTATGAGAATGTAGGACACCAAAAAGGGTTTATATAATGCTACTGATTTGTACCATAAACCATGTTTGAATTGTCAATGCAGATAACTGTTTCTTTGAAAAGGAAACACTTCACCTAAACTTGATTTCTCTGATTATCAGTTAAGTTTTGTGCTTGAATTAATATGTGAATTAGTTGTAATTCATTTCTATAGTGTAATAATTTAGATTTCCAGTTTTAACTAGGAAATTAATTATTATGATACAAAATGTTGGCGTCATCTTGGAAAGTACATTTATAAACGATTTTGTTTATAAATATGTATAAATAAGTAATGGATAGGTGGGTACTACTCAAGAGTTCAATGGAATGTTTGAATGAAAGTGATTTAAACATTTATACACATGAACAAATTATAGGTGACGTCTTCAATTTCGAATTTTGGATTCCTATACATAGCTTGGTTGATTTCTATAGTTTTTCTTCGTAAATGAGAAAGCCTAAAAGTAAATTTTAAGAGTTTCTAAATTTGTATCTGTCCTATATTGTTCCAATTTTATAATATTCGATTTCAGTTTTTTTTTTTTTTTTAAAAAAAGGCCTTGATTCATTTTGAAATGGAGTCTCTATGTTGACATGTAATAGATAGAATATTAAGATCATGTTCGATTCAACTAAAATATTAAAATTTAAGTTATAGAAGGTGTTTGACACCCATTTTTAAGGAAAAAAATGAATTTTAGAATTGTAGATTTTTAGAGAATGTGTGGATGAAAAGTTTTTGATTTACGTGTAACACTATTTTAATGAAGAATGTGTGGTTGAAATGAAGAAAGAGAAAAATGTATTTTGAGAAAAATGAGAATCAAACGGGCCTTATAGTTAACAAATAATTTTGACCATGTATTTCATGGAATCCACAACTTTTCATCAACACATTCCATCAACCTTTATTAAAATCTACTTAAAATTTGATTTTTATCTAAAACAAAGAGGACTAAATCTATAATGCCACTCACGACGTTATACCTCAACTTATTTCCTATTATGAAAAAAATTACTAAACGGAAATTATTTATGAATTTGGATTATTTCTATGCTATGAATTAAGAATTACATTAAGGGGTGGTTTGATAAAAAATTTAATAATTTTTTATAAAAACTGATGAAATATATGGTTCAAAAGGATAAAAATTATGATTCTTATGAAACATGTGATTAAAATTAATGGTTGGCTTTAATTCAACTTTTTAGCTACTTTAAATATTCCATCATAAATATAACATTTTATGCATAGAGTGTTGGTAAACAAAAGCAATATCAATTACAAAGAAAAAAAATATAAAAAGAGATTAAAAATTTAATATCACCTAGAAAGAAATTTAAGTATATTTCCCTTCCGTGTCTTTAATGAGCCTCCAATATAACTAATATAATTTCAAATCTATTGATATAGCTTTACAACATAACACAATATCTAGTACATATACTTGGAGTCGAATAAAATATAATCTCGTGAGATATATCTTTCTAAATGATAATTGTCTTGTCTTGGACAATTTCAATGCAACGATTGGCCTGGACTTGAGGGGATACTCAAGAGGCAGCTGCCTCAAGCCCAAAATCTATGGGGACCTAACACAATCTTTCACACCTAATTAATTTTCATTTTCAATTTTAAAGTAAAATAGAATTTCCATTTTACGCACATGTTATAAAAATTTGGTTAAATGCACAATTATTTTACGATGACTGTTGTGCAACAAATTTGAAGAAGACAACTATGCGCCTCATGACAATTTGTTTGCAAAATGTATTGAAGTCTTTTGCATTATTTTCGTATTGATGTGCATGGTAGCTTTGATTTTCATTTATTTTTTTCTATTTTTTAAAAACCCTTACAGAGATTTTTAAAAAAAAAATGAATATTGAATTCTATTTGAGTGTCCAATTTTTGAATTTGACTCAGGCTTTAAAGTTTGCAATTCCAGGACCGCCCTGATGGCCGTGGTCATAAGCATGAGATTATATTTCATTTTGATAGTTGCTATATGATTATATACGCTCAAACATGTTTTTGGTTCCATTTGGTGCTATTTTATTTGTGTCAAGCCTAAGGAAAAAAAATATTAAATCCTTCATCTCACACTAGCTTAAGATGAATAAAAAATTGATTTTGAGCTATAAAATAACCATTAATATAAGAAACCACCTTAATTAATTTTTATTCATCGAACAAAATTTTGCAATTAAAAAATAGAAATTGAGAGTGTTAATTTGTTTAATAATATTGAGCAAATGAAGTATTTTCTAACACATATCTTACAAAGAAAATCTTTAAAACATATTAATAACAAATCAATTACTAAAAAATAGTTTGCAGAACATTCTATTATAATGTGTAGGTTGTGATTTATAGCTATTTATAATGAAACATTTGTAAATTTTTTAACAAATGGTGTTTTTTTAACCATTATGCAAAATATAGTATTCAATTTTATTTTTATTTTTATAAAATACAGTATATAAATGTAATTACACTCTATATATACATGGTGTATTTTGTAAATATCCCTATAAACTAATGCTATGGATTAAAATTTCACTTAAAATTAAGGGCATTGTTGAGAGAAGAGAAAAAAGTAAGGACCAAATGGTCAAAATTAATACTTCTTAAACATCCACACTTTTTATATATTTTTAATTAATTGTAGATAGATAAACAATCGATCCCTAAATGTGAAGTTGGACCGTTTCTAGATTTGCTTGTCTCATCCTTGTACAAGGTCATGTTGATTTTCTTTCTATTGTTTCAATTAGTATGCAATTGAAGGGAAAATAAAGAAGCATTGAATGTATATTTATATAGGGAATCTTTATCTTTATATTTATATGTAACACTAGAGTATCTAATAATATATGCCACATTAAATTATTATTATTTATTCAAACTGAGGTGAATCAAATTTCATAAAATGCATCTTTTTTTTTTTTTAAAGATGATTGTCTAATCTTATCCAATTTCAAGATGGTCATATAGGAGAACATGCTGATTATATTTCATTTGATACTTGCTTGATATTTACATAAGCCCAAACATTTTTGGCTCCATTTCATGCTTTTTAAGGAGAATATATATATACACACACACACACACAATGATTACAAACGGCTCCTTAAAATAAGTAATCTGTTACAATTTCTGCAGAAATCTCAGTTACAGATCAATGCCACATCCAAAAAAAGAAGCTCGAGCAATCGTAGGAAGGAAATCATTTCACGTTATCGGAATTGACCTCGATAACAATCGGAATTAGTTGATCCGTAATCAAGCAACCATCGTTCTTCACGGAGATTCGTCGATTCTGGATTACAATCAGGTATGTGATTCCAATTTTAAAATCCTATGACATCGTCTGTATTCATCGCGTGGGTTCGAAATCAGCCAATTCATGTTTAGGCATTACGATTTATAGACAGTTGCTTATGTGACTCAGCTACATTATGATTGTGGACGTGAAATCATTATGTTATGGACAGTTGCTTATGTGACCAATCTCGATATGTAGCATGAACTTCAATGTGTGACCATCATAGGTGACAGGGATTGATGGCGTGTGGTAGTGTTCTAAGTATGATACTGAATTTTTTTATGTGACCTTGAGTTGTATATGAAATCATAGTTTTTGTCAGAGCCAAGAACTATATAAATGTGACCATAACAGATACCTTAAACTGATATATCACTGATTATCTCATCTAAAGCCGACAATTTTCCTTTGAAATTTTTCAGAAATGGGATATGCCCACGTTTGCTTGTAATATGGGTCACAGTCAGCACTGGTGATGATTGATAATAATTATTGTTATATAAAGCTCATGGAAACAGCAGTGACAGAGTTTAGTCTAGATCCTACTAAAGTAGCTGTCACAATGACTTACACACTTCATGTTGATCTGCCTCCAGTAAGAATAAGTAGTGACAGTAATGTTTAGACATACGTGACTCTAAAAACTATAGAGCGTGACCCCTCAAAGTACCCCATAAACATTGAGGTGACATCTATAGAAATAGGGCATGAATCGCTCAATTCTATGTTGGCCAATCCAAATGCACTTAATGTGCAATCAAGTGCAGGGGTGTATCCATTGCAGAATATAACAACTGATATATATGATTCAGTTGTAGAAACATCCCATCGTATGGATGAAAATTTGGTCACAATTGTTTACATTGCTGATGCTATGAGTATAGAAGAAGACAGAGTGTTTCGCAATAAGGATGTTTTGAAATTTAGCATATCTTTCTTTGTCATACAAAATATGTTTGAATATGTGGTAGTTCGATCAGATAAGAAGAAGTATCTAGTCAAGTGCTCACATTATGACTGTAGTGGATATGTAGGTCTTCAAGGTTGGGAAAAATAGATATTTTCAAGATTCGAAAGCTAACCGATGGTCACACATATGCTTCAAACATAGTTTTAGGATCTCACAGGCAAGTCTCAATGTCTGTGGTGTCCTCATGCATCAAGTATAAGTATACATCATCGCGTACTATATACACTTCAAATTATACATGTAACAACATGTTGCATACATATGGGGTCACAATGAATTATGTTAAAGCTTGGAGGTCCTGGGAAAGAACTTTGAAACTAATCAGGGGGATCCAACAGAGTTATTTCAACAACTACCAAGCTATTTTTATATGCTTGAATAGATAAATCCTATAACGGTCACAAAGTTGGAGGTCGATGGTCACAACAAATTCAAGTACTGTTTCATGGCACTTGGTGCATTGATTGAAGGATGGGTTGACTATAGGCCTGTAATTCTTGTAGATGGCACGTACCTGAATGGGCACTACGGAGGCACTCTATTTATAGCTTGTACACAGGATGCTAATGACAGCATCTTTGTGCTGGCATTTGGTGTTGGAGATAACTAAAACGATGCATCTTGGACATGGTTTTTAGAAAACCTGAGAAGTGCTTATGGTAATATGGAAGGACTGTGTTTTGTATCAGATAGGCATAATAATAGAAAGATTGCAATTGAATGGGTATATCCGGGTACAAGCC